AGATTTTTACTAAAAATAAAAATTTAAAACAAAATTTGGATCGTCGGAATACCGAGCTAAATTGGCTAATTCCTTGAGCCATCAAATGTTCATTGATCTCGTCTATCCTTATCTTAGCCCATCACAAACTGTTATAGATATTCCAATCTATTTATTAATACGTAAGCCATAAGGTACAAAATGAATTTAATTTATATAACTTTGTAAATTAATAAATAACATCGTTGACAGATTTAATGTATATATATTTTTTCGGCATCTTACGTTATCAATTTCCAGATAACGTTAAAAATCGTCAACAAAAATGTATCTGATATTTATCGCGATTACGTTACCAAGCCGTCGAGTTACTCGAAACAATCTACAAATACGCATGGCACTTGAGTTTTTTAATTTATTGGAACGAAGTTCCTTACGGCAGGCTTGGAGGGGATAGGGATTTTGCTGTGCGACCGAACTGAAAAAAATGTGATAGTAAAACCGTAAGAAAAAATCCGTGGAAAAAAGTGCGTGGAATAAAACCGTTAAATGAGACGTGCGCAGGCGCGACAGTCGCATACACAAGCGAGTAGTGTATAATACCTTTCTCTTTCTCCTTCTTTCTTTTCGTTCTCTAATCCATTCTCTCTCTATTTAGTAATTATTTCTATTTCTATATAATTTTATGTTGTCAACCAAAAATAAAGAGATATATTTTGTTATTTTAATTGATAATTTGAATTACTATTTTTTTTTATTTTACGTAATTTATTATTTCCTAAAATACTGAATTTCCTAAATATTTTCCCGTACTTAAATAAAAACTAATCAGCAAAATTTAAGAGAAAAACCAAGAAAACCTACATAAAATTGATCACCATTTCTTTTTTTACAAATTGTGTCGATTCTACATTAGCCGAAGGAACTTCGTTCCTACCTGGTGTCCCACGACACCACATTCTAATTAATTTTTATTATTTTCATATTCATCCTCAACGTCCGCCTGTGGTGATGACTTCGTCTTATTTTACCTATCACTTCGATAAAGCGGCACGACATGAGAATCCTCTCATCGTGGCCGTCGGAAACTACATAGCCGATCGCCCAAAACACGTCATTACGGATCCTCCCGATCCACTAACGGTGCCTTTAGGTACCCCAAGCACCGATCATCGTTCTCGTCGAACCCGTCGCTTGCGACGAAGGGCTCGGCGAGTAAATTAACCCACAGTTTCTCGGCGGATCTTCTCAGTGGGTCGCGTTTCCGATCCGTGATACGACTCTGCGAAGCACTGCTCTTACTACAGCCAGTCTTAGCAACACTTCCGGTTCGAGCCCCGTGAGCTCATCACCTACACGTCAAGGCGAAGCTGAAATAGCCTCTCAAGGCTATCAACATACGTAGAGGAAAAAATCCTGATACAGTAGGTACCTCAGTGGTGCGGTGAGCTTTTTTTTTGTTGCTTAGGTGGTCCTACCACCAGTAATTACGCAAATTATAATTTTGCGGGTTTGGTTTTTATTACACGATGTTATTCCTTCACCGTGGAAGTCAATCGTGAACACGTGTTAAGTACGTATTTCATTAGAAAAATTGGTACCCTGGCCTGCGGGATTCGAACACCGTTGCATCGCTAGATACGAATGCACCGGACGACTTATCCTTTAGGCCACGACGACTTTTGCACTAGTTAAATGCACTAGTACTACAATGCTAACACGCATTTTACTACATCTAGTCTATTTCTGCCGGAAGCAACTATGAGTTATCAGTTATGCCAATGCACTTCGACCTGACATCTCAAGTTATATTGGCTACAATGATCGCTCAGCATCAGGTCTTGACTTGAGCTCTCGAGCTTACCGTTTAATCCTGACATCTCAAGTTATATAGGATACAATGACCGCATAGCATTAGCTCCAAAACTCATCTTTTAATTTTGCTGCTAACTAGATCAACAACCCTCTCTTTTCTAGTTCTATTTATAGAATTTATTTACCAAGTACCGGCCGACATCAATATAGTGTATCTAGCAAAAGTAATGATAGCTGCACCGCCGCCTTTACAATGTATTCTTATCGAAAGTGTTTATTTACTTTATGGGCTAATTTGGTAATTAATTTTACAACGAAGGAATATTCCAAACAGGACGCTAAATTTACGATGAAACAAAGTAACAAAATGTAATGTCTGATATGCATACCATTATCTCGGGCAACTAACACTAGCCTGATTCTAAATAAACAGTTCGATTGATCTGCTCATAATTACATGGCAAATATCTCAAAAACCATCGCGAAAACAATATAGCGTTGGGGTAATGATATATTTTATTTAGCAGATGCGTCCAGAGGACAAAAACAATTAACTACTTTCAGATTAGTAATCGGGAACAAGTTATTACCTGCAAATAACACTTTCGTCAAAATATATTGTTGTTTCGTAGGTCAGCCGGAATACACAAGCCGACAGAAAAAAAAGGAGTTAGTTTTTGTGAAGTGTGCATAACTATGAGATTTAAAGAAAGATACCTCGTGAAGACTATTGCTAAATTGAAAAGTTTCGCACACAACCCATTGTACATTGTCGGTGCTATATTTTTTAACAGTTAGACTCACTGATTTCAATAAAATTTTAATTTTTGAGTTTATATTCATTTAGAAAAAAGCACAATCACTTGAGTTTTTTATCGAGTTTTCCGAGTGTTGAAACTATCAATGCTAAAGAGAAGGCCTACCCGATTCTGTAGACCGAATGGTAAACAGTCGACGTCGCCCTAAGCACGTCATTACGGATCCTCCCGATCCATTAACGGTGCTTTTAGGTACCACAAGCACCGGTCACCGTCCTCGTTGAACCCGTCGCTTGTGACGAAGGGCTGAATCGTGAATTAGCCCATAGACACAGCCCACTGAGTTTCTCGCTGGATCTTCTCAGTGGGTCGCGTTTCCGATCCTGTGGTAGATTCTGCGAAGCATTGCTCTTGCTACGGCCAGTGATTCTGCGAAGCACTGCTCTTGTTAGAGCCAGTGTTAGCAACACTCCCTGTTTGAGCCCCGTAAGCTCACCTACACGTCAAGGAGAAGCTGAAATAGCCTATCAGCATAGGCCGGAAAAAAACAAAAAAAAACCGAGCGTGTGATATTGCTCGGTAGACCGACGGTCTGAATGTTGTTCGGAACTTTTATACAATGCAAGATTATCTTAAAAATGACGTAAGCGAGATTCAGGTATCTGTTACATAATATCTTGTGTTGTACCGCTACAAAAGCGTAAATATTTTTTTCGTTTCTACACGATGTAATAGTAAAAATAATTTTAAGTTATATTTTTTATATTAAGAGTAATTTCACGAGCCGCCGTTAAATTGAAATACGTACAATTTTCCATACAATATCTATCTTATAAATATAAATTATTATTTTATTATTGGCCGTAACGAAAAGCGTGTGGCGTGCGTGTGGAACGTTACGTGAAAATATTCACAGCTAGTGTAGTAGTTAGTTTTCGGTAGTAATTTCGCTCGTTTCGCTATGATTGTGCAGATATTTGAGTCGACTATTATCAAAGCCGGCAATGTGACTTTTGGACAATTATTGGTAAATCAGAAAAACGAATTATTGACTTTGTATTCCATTGGCGGTCACAAAACTCTTCTGAACGACATCTTAGATAAATAACAGGTTAAGTATTAACCTTTATTTAATGCAGGTTTTGAACCGTATTCTTTGAAGGAGACGATTATATTCAAATCAATCTGTATTGACATATCAATAACATTTTTTTGTCCAAATGCACAGATTGCCACCTTTGATAATAGACGACTCATTTATTACAATACGCAAAGCATTTTTTGGGCGAATTTTACCCGTGCACAAAATACTTTTAGTTTTTAATCTCACTTTTCTTTATTTGTTTGATATTACATTTTGGAGTGTGATTCATTAATCGAGTTGATAACATCATCCTATCTTTTTATAGCGCGAAAAAACAATGAGCTAATTCAATCAATCAGACCTAGAACTTTACCTCAAGGGCAGTCATGTAGTGGGAGGTCTATGGTATCATCTTTGCCAATAAAACAAAATAGTAAAGTTACATCTACCTACCTATCCAAGAATTTGAGTCGGGGAGTCCACCTGCATGTCACTCTGGCCCAAGATAAGCAGTTTTGCTTTATCTTACAAACCTTAAACTTTCGCCACTGGAGCCCAGTATGACATTACACACCAAATTATAATAATAAAAACCAATCAAAACAAAAAATACTAAGTCGGTCTTATCGCTATCTTGTCCTATCACAACAGGGATGTCTTTCTGACATTATTTTATACTCAGCTTCAAGACTAAAACAATTTTATGACACAGCATCAAAACTAAGTAATTTTTTTTAACAAGTTGATTTCTGTTACTGCGCCCTTGGATTGCCTAACTTTGCCTTCTTTCGTTTTTTAATGTATTTTTTAGTCTTTTAGGTGTCATAGAAATAGATTGAATCTGAGTATCTGTGGATTCGTCTTTATCAGAGTTTTACTCAATATTCCGACGCCTCAGTAACAGAAATCGACATAATTACTTCAGTACGCCACCGTAGGGCACCGGTGACCTACATAGGCTGTTGACTAGGTTATATAAGCATTCTGATGACGCTGTTAAATAAAGCAAGCACTTTTTTTGTTATTTAACAATTACCCCTACAACCCGATTCGACAAATCAAATCTATAGTGATCTGTGGTATTCTGCTAAATTTTCTTCTTATTATTGGCGTGTGTGTAAACTTCTGCTAAACGTTAACACACACACACACGTAAATTTTGTTAAATTACATGCTCCTTTTATTCCTTCAACACTCGTGTTCTAACTTCACCAGTAAGGTTTCGGGCTATATCGCTATGAATTTATCGATCTTTCTTGCCGTTAACGATTTTAATATACACCCAAAAGTTTTTCGTCAACAATTGTCACATCCCCATTGCCAATTAGGGTAGGCAAAATAAAAAAAAACAAAAAAAAACTTACCTCAAATTGAGCACTGAACGTTTTGAAAACTCCCTCCCAGAGGCATCCTGATTGCGTTAAAACTTGAACGGTGTCGCCAACGAGTGATGTGGCAGCGTGCATGAAATGCGCGTTGTTGTAAACTCCCTCGGCCACCACGCGACCACGTGGTGACCTGTAACAACAGAGACACAAACTAACTAAAAGGTTTCATAATCGCTTTGGATCGGAAGACCAAGTTTTACTGGTGGTGAGGAGTCTTGTGGATCTGCATGGGTAGGCACCGCCACCCTCAATAAACGTCTACCCTCACGAAAATACAAATACGGCAGTATTAAAAAAAAACTAAATTACTGAGTTTATTTACTGAGTTCCTTTCCAAGCTGCTTGGCTTTTTTTTACAAATATATGTAGCATGTTTTGACATTTAACAAGTAAATTTTTTGAGCCCTTACGTGTAGGTACCGTCACCCCGCCTATTTCTGCCATGAAGCAGTAATGCGTTTCGGTTTGAAGGTACGGGGCAGCCGTTGTACTGTAAAAATTGAGAGCTTAGAACTCGTGTCTCAAGGTAGGTGGCGGCATTAGCATTGCAGATTGGGCTCCGGTAAACACTTAACGCAACGTTTATAACATCCTACCGAATCGCCACATTAGGTTCAAGCATACCAACTGAATTGTACTAGCTAACAAATCGACCGTGTTGCAGATAAGGCCAATACGAAAATCGACATGTACTATAAAGTGGCCAGTCACGCTAAAATCAATTCCCAAAGCTAGCTCTCCAAACAACCGCATAGATTGTTGGCAAGTGTAAATAAGTTATAATTTTTGGGTGCATTATTCAATCTACCATTTATATTTTTTGCGAATAAAATTGCGAATTTTATCATCGTTTTAGATGGGTAGACGGTCCTCGTGGTGTTCAGCGGTTACCAGAACCCATAGACATCTACAACGTAAATGTCGCCACCCACCTTGAGACACGAGTTCTAAGGTCCGTTTTTATAGTATAAACGGTTGCCCCATCTTTCAAACCGAATCGCTCCGAATTATGATAGACACAATCCGCCGAGTTTCTCGCCGGATCTTCTCAGTGGGTCGCGATTCCGATCCGGCCGTATAGTACTGGATTCAGCGAAGCACTGCTCTTGCTAGGACTAGTGTTAGCAATACTCTCAGGTGAGTCCGTGAGCTCACCTACCGGTTCGCGGGACGTTGGAATAGTCCTTTTTTTTCACTGCAGAAATAGGCAGGGTGGTCATAGCTACCTGAGCGAATTTACAAGACGTTCTATTACCAGTAAATTAAAACATTGAACTCACTGCGACAGCTTAAACGTACAAAATAACAAATGCGACGAAACTAATTTCATATCACGCACTTACTCTAACCAGAACCAATACAGAACTGAGTTTTGCTGCAAATAAAGTCTAACAATGGGTTCATCGTCCGTTCTCTTATCATCGTTTAGATATCCAGTCGTAAACTCTCAGAATTACCAAATAAATTTCAACTTTCGCCGCTTGATTTACGAGCTACTGATTTAATATTAACATATCAAATTAGCTTTGTATGTATAATAATTTTGGATGAAAACCGTTAATCCATCGATGACGTATAACGGTCCGTCTCGTCGAAATACTATTAATACCTAGTTCGAATCTTCGTTCAGTAGTCGCCGTATACTATTCTACATCTGATAAGACTTTGATAAGAAGTTATGATCTCAATGCGACAACTTAAAAGTATACAAGCTCAACATACATACAACATACACAAACAATAAAAACAGAGTCGGTAATAATAAAATACGTTTACGTGAGAAATGAGACTTAAAAGTAGTTTAAAACAAGGTCTACAGCACGTAAAAGCCCTAAACACGTCATTACGGATCCTCCCGATCCATTAACGGTGCTTTTAGGTACCACAAACACCGGCCACCATCCTCGCCGAACCCATCGCTTGCGACGAAGGGCTCGACGAGCGAATTAACCCACAGACACAGCCCACTGAGTTTCTCGCTGGATCTTCTCAGTAGGTCGCGTTTCTGATCCGATGGCAGATTCTGCGAAGCACTGCTCTTGCTAGGGCTCGTGTTAGAAACGTCATCAGGTTTGAGCCCCGTGAGCTCACCTACTAGTTAAGGTTCCGCTGATATAGCCTCTCAAGGCTATCAGCATAAGTAGGAAAAAAAGCACGTAAACACCAGGGGTCCTTCTCTGAAGGGTGGAAGAGCAGTCTTAAAATCCATTTAAGACTTTGACGTCATGGGTAAATAGAGGTACGTTCACACTGTAGTCTCTGTTTTCTTGTGAGTGCTTAGTACCAGGTGGATCTATCGGCTGATACAGAGTAAAAATAATAATAAAAATAAAGTACATCTCGGAAAACCGGCTATCGTAACATTACCGTCTGTATGTCAGGTATGACTTACATTAAATATTTTGATTTTGAGCAAGAGATATTTTTTATTGTGGATTAACACGATTTAAAACGGTTATTTCAAATGCAGTCATGAGTTTTGCTTAATTTTATAAAAAAAAAATAAGTTACAAGCTCTACTGAGTCCATCATCCATTGACAAAAGTAATCAACACTTGATAATAATCAAACTTTTGGAAGGAGTTTTTCAGAAGAGAAAAAGAGTTCATTTAGATTCCTGCAACATTTTCAGTTAAGAATGACTGAAATGTTTCCTGTTTGGATACATATCGACCTACCTATGGGAAGGTGTGGGCTGGTTCCGTTCTAACCACCATTCCGATGCTTCAGTAATTTTGTATAAAACAATTAAATACTCTAAGAGTATACAGTATGTATTTAAATAATGCATTTCACTTTCTCAAATCACTAAGTATTATGGTTATGCACAGGGTGAGATGGTTATGGAAAATTTAATTTAATGTGTGAAAGTTCTCAGTTATTAAAATACATGGTCAATTTACATTTTATAATTATAGGGTTTCCTCTTATGTTTATTTTGGTCATTACTTAATCTTTCAACCTTTGTGGACATCAAAAAGATCAAAATAATGAAAGTAGTGATAATTAATATAGCTTAACCTTACTTATAACAACTGAAAACTAAGAAAAAATTCGCAGATTTCAATAATCCAATTTTAGTTTACTAAATGACCAAGTAAAAATAAAGCCACTTTAGAAATCGTTCATTGAATATGGCATTTACAATTTTTTTGTTTTATTCATCAATCAACTAAGTATATTAGGAAATCTTGATGCTAAAATAACTAGCTATGGTTAATTGCATGCAACATTAGTATACCCTATAATTATTAAAAACAAACACTAAATCTAGCTCTAAAGGCTTTTACTTTTGTATATTTTTATTGCTACATATTAGTATTAGCTTTATATTATTTTCTTGCAAATAACAAAGTTATATCTATATACAATAAATATTTGGTGACCTTTTTTTGTGCCGGCTGCTTGGAATTGTGTCACAAAAATTGGGACTGAAAAATGGAATTGATACTATTGTCCTGCTCCAGATAAAAATGTGTAACAAATATAAATTGATTTCTGAAATTAAGCATATCTAATTGCAATAATCTGTTCACAGGCACTTAGATTAGCTTCAGTGTGTTTCTATAGAAACTTTGTATCAAAACATAGCTGCTGCTTTCGATAAAATTTATTATTCCTCAGTTTTACAATTCATTGATACCAGGTTACTTGATTGGCAGAAGTTTTGAGATACTTTTATTTATATGCATCTGTTAACCATCCAGCAGGAAATGATAGAAAAACACATGATTTAACTATACTGAGACCTTAGAACTTATATCTGATGGTGGGTGGCGTCATTTACCATGTCTATGAGCTCCAGTAACCACTTAACACCAGGTGGGCTGTGAGCTCGTCCACCTGTATATGCAAAAAATAAAACTTAATTTATTTAACACTATTAATCCTTTATGCTCAAAAGCTGATGATTACCAAATATTTTGGTGAGCTAGTCGCTCTCGAGTGCAAAGGGTGAAATAATTTGCATTGTATAATATGCTATTGAATAAAAAATTTGCTAATCCACATAATCAAAACCGTACTGTAATTTAAGGAAATTAACAGTACTGAGATCCTAAGGTTTGCGTGGGGAACAATTGTAGTGGCAAGCTAAGATCATTATTGATTAGTGTGCTTAGAGAGAGTTCAGAGTTGTATGGTGCTGACAGTGCTGCTAGCGGCAAAAATGGGGCCACTAAGCACATGGGAGATAAAAGTGCTTTTTTTTAGTCATTGGATTTAAATGCTGTCTAAATTATTTAGATACTGTTAATCAAAGTTTATAATTCTACAATAATTGAAAAAAAAAACTATTTTAGTTGAGATTTGTTGAAGATATTCTCAAAAATAAACAAAAGGATATTGATGACTAATAAGAAAAAAAACAATCTGTTAGACCACTCATTTTAAGGCTTTCTCTTGATAATTTCATGTATATTCATTGTTGCTCTTATCAGTTGAAGGCATTGAACCCAACTTGTTTTTTCTTCTTTTTTTACCCTGATTGGTTTTAAAGTAACTGTTGTCAATGTAAATACAGTGTCCAATATGAGAACTGATGGCCCAATTTGGTTATGACTATACCAAAGACTGAATACTGTTTTGTACAGTTTTCAACACAATATTTATGAAAAATTAGCACATATAACTGTAATACTGCTCAACTACAGCAATATAGAAAATATTACCTTTTCCACTTCTTAATGTCACAACTGCAAACTGATAAATTCACACTTTAAAATAACTAAATATAATCAAGATCATTATTGAATAATTTGTTTCTAGATACTAACAATGTCACCAAACATCTTTAAATAAACGGCAATTAAGATCATTTAGCCTAATGATGTAGGTCGAAGTATCCATTTGTTTTCAATGAATAAAATATGTGACATTTAAAAACAATTATTTGTATTACAATTTGAGTGTTCAAAGCATTTTAAATCTATCAGTATTTAATAACTCTGTATCTACAAATTAAACTCACTTTTAACTAAAGGTTTAATGAAATTTTATGAAACACTAAGAAAAGATAAAGATGGCTAAATTGAACATGCATGGTATTTTATGGTATTTAGAAATTTAAGTCTATACCTAATGTTACAAAGAAGCTCTAACAATGTGTTTAATTTTGAATCTGTTAATTGACATGTGTAATTAAATTCTGATGTCCAGAAAGAAAAGTAGTACCCAGATTAAGAACATTGGAGTCATGCCAACCATTAACTTCATGCAACTATTAGCTTTGTAGTGAAAGTGACCATTCTATATTACCTTTACTTCCTATTGCACATTAAATGATTACACATCGTTCAGAATACAATTTGAAATTATTTAATAATTTTAATTTTTATTTGTTGCACTGAACTAATGATATACTTGCTCGACCAGCTGATCAAGTGGCTATATTAATCGACACGAGTACGTAACAAAAGTAGGGCAAACATCTAGACTAGACTAGCGCACCGCGCCGTCACCGCACGCGTCTTGACACTCGCAACACATCATGAAGCTCAATCATACTGTTTACATAGAAGAGATGTACAACGCTTACAGTTACTCCGAAGCCACTGTCAACGTGACAGAAAATTTGCAACGCACGACAATCAGGCCGGATAACAAAGAAATGTCATGCCTCTAGTGGATGATCATTACCTCGGTGGTCCTTGGCGACTCTTCCGTTTATTATTCATGTCCCCTCTAGAGGACACGAATAGAGAGAATCCAGGGTTCCGGCTGCACGTGGAGCCGGAATTTGGCCGCTTATCACTTCTTTCTTGTACAACACAATTGTTTCAACTTTCGCGGATGCACTTAAATTGACTTAAATGCAATTTGGTATTAGGAGTTAGCACTTAAAATGCGACAATTGGCATGTATTAATTTCACTAATTGTGTAAAATATGCCAATAAATGTAATTTAAAATATATTTTGGTATAAAATCGCAATCCGACTAAGTATAAGGATTTAATTCCCAAAAATACACGGGTTGGCAGATTTCTCGTGCCTGCAATCAGCGCAGGAATACAACATGGCGTTGTGACGTATTCAATCAGCGAATTGCAAATTTGCAAATACGCTTTTATTTCACTTTTAATTACGATAAATAAATAAATAAATATCGTTACTTATTTTTTAAAGTGTTAAATGAAACCGTAACTGAGACGTTCCATAGGAATAATAAATAAGGTCAACGTTTGACCGACTTCCTACTTTAGAACTTTCAATATGGCGGACATATTTTCTATTCAGTGTTACCAATGTCGAATACATGCTTTTGGTTTTTATTTTATGGTTTTTAAAAATATTAATTTTTGTTTATGGTTAGCACAGACCTTTTAATTAATTTATTGGATTACTCAAACTTTCTAATATTACTCAAATGTTATGATATGGTGAGAGAAAAAGGTAATGCTAAGTCAGAAAGGAAAGTACGATATTACTAGGTATTTCACAAAGATTGTAGTACTAGTTTAAAATAGATTTTGAGTGTAAATGCTTTTTTTTTTCCGGGCCGGGGGCCGAATCTCCTACGAGGTCCCCGCGCCTAGGGTCAAATCAAAACGTACTAGAAGTGTAGCAATTACATTTGACAAGCACATAAAAAAACATAAAATTTTGGTTTTATATTGTTTCTTATTTACACAAAATGAACATACAGCCGCATTATTTTATAGTGTAATCGAACCTTAGAAATTAATATGTATGTATGTATGTATGTATTAATATGCTATTTTTTGTAAATATGAAAGTTCTCTTTATGATCCAAACTTATATTACTGTTTTAGTACCTAGTATGGAAATAACACGGCGAAATCATGAATCGTGCTAGCTTCATTTTAAATATAATTTTGTATTTATATAAGTTCCAAATAAAAACATTTAAAGTTAAAGTTAACTGTCTTTTTAATATTGATTTTTTTTATTGCTTATATGGGTGGACGATCTCACAGCCTACCCGGTGCCAAGTGGTTACTGGAGCCCATAGACATGCACAACGTAAATGCGCCACCCATTTTGAGATATAAGTTTTAAGGTTACAACGGCTGTCCCCCCCCCCTTCAAGCCGAAATGCATTACTGCTTCACGGCAGAAATAGGCAGGGTGATGGTACCTACTCGTGCGGACTCACAATAGGTTCTACCACCAGTCAAGTAAAGTTAGTTTTGGTGGTAAGTATCGCCTACTATACTTATTCATAGCCATAGTCATAAATGAAACTCGATGAATATTATAAGACAAACATCTATACTTGAGTTTTCCAAAAGCCCAAACAATTTGTTTTATCCTCTTTTTATTTTATTTACATTGAGAAGTATAGTTTTAGAGATAAACTAGCATCAAAGTATGGTTCGATGGCACACTATCAGAGTAGCTTACAGTGCTGCCCTCTATAATGTTGTTTGTTTTATAGATCTCATACTATATTTTTATCCGTTACTTTTCGACTTTCGTGACTTTCCGTGACTTTCGGTTGTATTAAAAACGTTGCAAGACAAATTTTTTGTCAAAATTGTTCAATGATAAAAATGTGAACAATCTTGAACAATTCAAAAAACATTCGAGTTACAACCCATTCTTTTTGTTACTTGTAATCAGTTTATGCTGTTCTGTCTATTTGTCCTTCGCGAGCTACTTATAATTATGTAGTAGATTTTTTGGCGCCAACGCAAGGAACGAATTTGTGTACATTTTCTTAGTTTGTTATGAGTTATGACCGACCTGGTGGTGCAATAGTTAGCGTCCCTAACTGTGACGCCGAGGGCTGTGGGTTCGATTCCCAAATCGAGCAAACATTTGTGTGATGCACAAGTTTGTTTGCTCTTTGTTTGGATGTTTATTATCTAGGTATATAATAATATGTATGTATATATGTCTCTGGTACCATAACACTGGGAATCCTAATTTGGGGCCGGATGACCGTGCGTGTTTTATAAACAAAAATATCAGTGTTTTTTCAGGTTCAGACGTGTAATTACAATTTCAGATAAATCGACATTATTTCATTTAGCTCTTCATCTTTTTTTAAATAACTTACAAAAAATGTACATACTTAATAAAAATAATTGAAGATTTCCTAAACGCGAAGCTGGTAACAATGGCATCACGAGAAAACCCATTGCCATACTGAAAAGAAGAAGAAGAATCCGTTGCATGTATCCCGCGCGCGCGCGAATTTCTAATATTGATGTTACAGTGTAGTTATATATATATACCATGCTATGTTGCCACGAACGAACACTGAATGTAATATCGATCGTCTTGAACTCTACTGAACAGCCGTGAAAATGAGTTTGAAAAGTACCCCGAATATGTCTAAGCGTGAGAAATTTCAACTAATTAACTCTGAAGTGCGTTCTTTTTACGAATATTGTAAAGAAGCGGGAATAAGTGACGAAGAAATGGATATTATATGTCGACCTCTGACGAATGCTGTGCGGAAAGCATACATAAGACGTTGGACAAGATTCTTTTTATGTATCATTATGGTATTGGCGTTGGGTTATACTGTGAGCCAAACGGATACATTCCAGTGGCACGCATCGGCTGCTGCAAGAATGCTGCTGATCAAGATCCTGCCCGTATGGGACTGGACACCACTATACTACAACAAGTGCTTGATAGAAAGATCTCAGCCGCAGAGTTTGAATAGCGATAATGTTATAACGCCAATTGATTGCATTTCATGTGAGGCTGTCAGTGAGTATTTTCTGCTTATATTCTAAATGAAATTTAAATATTCATGGGTCATAATAAGTCAGTTTTTAACCTGTCTATTAGAAGAAAAGGTCTGAATTGTAATATCGTGTTTCAGAAAACGTTGCTCGCTTATCGGACACTAGTTACAGCGAAGTGTTCAATCATCATCTCATGCGTGGAGCCCCGGTCATCGTGGTAGATGCCTATTACGATTGGGCTAGCAGCGAGCTAAACCTCACCAGTTTTATAAGCGAAGACTCAAGACTGCGCGATTCCGTACCATGCAGGATCTTGACGAACATCAAAATTGCTCGCCAGCCCATGGACTTAGAGGAAATCATTTCCCGAATCACCAATACAGAGATTCCTAGTTGGTTCGTTCACTTCCAGAACTGCGATATCCACGCGGTAAAAACGTTTAGGATCCTCGCTCCGAGACCGTATTTCCTTTCCCCCCACATCCCCCCATCTCATTTCAACTGGCTGGTGCTGTCGAAAAACTATGATACTCACAGATACAAGTTTCTAGAGCTCGACGTGGGTCTAATCATAATGTCTCAATTAAAAGGAAAGTCCTTCGTTCAGTTGAGGCCTCGTGCACCCTGCGAGGAAGACTGTTACACCCTCAACGTAGAAGTGCAAGAGGGTGAAACTCTAGTCTTGGGTAATTCGCTGTGGGAATTTGGTTATTTACCAGGGAAGGGAGAGAATTTTGCGATCGTTACCGAAACGGATTGGGACTAGGCGTAATATTCGGGGCTTAAATAAAACGACTTTATTAGCTGATTAAAGGATAAAATCGGTAATTCTCATTAAAAATTAGCGGTATAACGGTTTCAGTTGTTATATTATACAAGCTTAAGTTATATAAAGCTCAAAATAAAGCGGGAGAAACAAATTAACCAAACATAAATATTACACATATCAAACGAAGCTATGATTTAATGTAGAGAAGTATATAGTTAGTAAGGATCACGAATAAAACGTTATTATGCACACTAATGTTACGGTACATACACGTTATGTGTTGTTTTTTTATTTATTTATCGTAACTGTATATCGATTTTTAATCTAAATTTAGCATATCTTAAAAAGGGACTAATACTAAATGGCAATTAAGTGACATTTACATCTTTGGCGCCTTTTTATATTTCGGCCATTTTACGGTGAACTGCCATTTTGGTTCGCAATTTCAATCAACCATGTGCACCTATAGATAACAGAGGAGACAACAAAATTACCTTGCTTAATGTGAGAACGTCCTAAGCAATTTGTAGTCAAGGAATCTACTTACTTCATATATTGTTTTCTAATCGTGTAATTATATAATGTGTCTGACGCACGGCCATACCTCTGAAATAACATTTAACGTGTATCGTATTACATAAATACATATATTATGATATGAGGCAAGTCCAATGTGTTTTATTTGTTAACTTAAAATATCTCGCCGTCTTATTCGTTTGTGGATTGTTACATCTGTAGAACGTGGTGTTTGAGGAAGGTAGACCTAATATGTTGATAGTAGGTTTCTAGAGATATTTTATACGATCCGGTAGCAGATTCATTCGCGAAGCAATTGCTGTTAGGTTGAGTTGCTAGGTCTCCTTCGGAGGCGCTCGGGCAGCTGTTAGCAAATCCCACCCCTCTTGGCTGAGCCTTTGCTCGCCCCCTCCCTGGTGAAACTGGAAAGGCCTCAGGGCCACCAGTAATCTTTCAATTAAAAAAAAAAGACATTTTATGTGCCATACCATCCGGCTCTGGAATGAGCTCCTCTCCACAATAATTCCCGAGGGCAGCGTGCGACATGTTCTACCTCAAACGAGGCTTACGGAGAGTATTCAGTAGTAGATGGCGTCTTGGCTATTGCTGTCATGTCAGCGACGGTAATCACTAATTTCCGGACTGTGGCTCATCTACTTATAAAGACATAAAAAAACTGGTTTGGCTTCATAAAAAAAACTACTCCAATACGGACAGTTTTTTTTTTTTTTGTGTTAATTGGTTACCGGAGCACATAGACGTCTACAACGTAAATACCACCACCCATCTTGAGATATGAGTTCTATGGTCTCTGTATAGTTACAACGGCTGTCCCACCCTTCAAACAGAAACGCATTACTGCTTCACGGCAGAAGTAGGCGGGGTGGTGGTACCTACCCGTGCGGACTCACAAGAGATCCTACCACCAGTAAAGCTCAGCTAGGAGAAGTAGAATTTGCTAACAGCTGCCTTCGGAGAAGACTTATCAGCTCAAAGGCAGCTGGAATCGCTCATAAGAACCGCCGAGAAACTCTGCAGGCTTATGCATAGGTTAGGTCGCATCGTGAAATCATAAAGATAAAAAAATTGGCTTGAAATGGAGCATGTACATGGGTTTCAGCGGAACCAGAAATAATGAATGTCTTTCGGCTTTTCATCTTGCCTACTTTTTCTTATTAAGATTATTACCACTTTGAGCATTAGAGACAAAAAATATCCTTAAATTGAATTCCAAATTAATGCGGTTAAAATAGACACGTGGCACTTTTTGAATTACTACTAAGTACAATCATAGGAATTAAGCACCCTCAGGTACAGCTCTGAGCTCACTGAGTTTCACGACGGATCTTCTAGGTGGGTCGCTTTTCCGGTAGATTCTGCGAAGCACTGCTCTGGCTAGGGTTAGTGTTAGCAACGACGTCAGGTTAGAGCCCCGTGAGCTCACCTACTCACCCGGTCACGCTGGCATAATCTCCTAGGCTACAAGTATACGTAGAAAAACAAAAAAAAAAACAAAATAGACTTAATTTACAAGAACTTTAATACAACGAGTTAGCTTTGTGTTGAAGCTCTTACAGTATTTGTGACGGTCAAATTAAAAAAACTGTCAAACACACTGTTCCTCTTAAGATGTAGGTACATATTTTTCGAAAAGTAAATTCATCGCACGTATTGTCGCTAACTTCCGCGTTTAGAGACAATGTTAATAAGAACTACAAACGTCACAGTTTTGAATAGCAATTTATGGCTGGGTCATTTTAATGACACCAAAATTAGCATTGTTTTATTATGATACAAAAGGCGAGTCCCGCGTTCTTTTAAGCGTTTTTTTTAAATTTCATTCATCTTAGGTATTGGTCGCACCCACAGGTCTGTGGTCGCAACTTATCAATCAAGTGATTTTGATATCACCCTAACAAAGTACGTACATGTTTTTTTTTCTTTTTTTTTTACTTTGTGGTTTTTTAAGTATTTATTGTAATTTTTTTTTTCGAAACATTAATACCAATTTATGACAACTAGAGGTCCCGCAGTAGTCGAAATTCGAGTATAATAAATTGCATTGTAAGTTTGTACACTATTATGATTGTATTTTATACTTCTATAATCACAAATTTTGCCAAGACTACACTATAAAAAATATTAACAAAGACAAACATATTTAATCTCAATTTGACAACAGACGTCAAGAATAAAAGTTTGAAAATAAATAGTATGTGTGCGTCAAATACATGGTATGTAGTGTGTGTAATGTTTTCTTTATTGATTTAATGTATCTTTTATGCATTATTTTAAAAAAAAATTAGCATTGTGCACTTCTTCTCTATATTCTCTATAAGTGTGGAAAATTTCATACTCCTCCGTCCGCGCAATTTTCGTAAAAAGGGATACAAAGTTTTTGCTTCACGTATTAATTTAAGACAATAAAATTGTTAGTTTGTGGAAAATTGTGCTGCTTTGTGTGTGACGACTTTGTTACATATTCTTCAGTTCTCCATCATCTCTGCATGTATCACTTCAAACGACAACAGCTACATCAGCCATCTTAGAGCTATATTAGCTATATTAGGGCTATATTAGGATAAAATAAAACGCACATAACCTAAAATATTTTATTTGTAATACTTTAAAATAAATTTCAATCAGTTTTTTCTTTGTGCACCGGTTTCCCCATGAACCATAATAACAATATTCTCAATGACAAAACCACCGGGAACATTATCGGTAAAAACAACGGTATGTAGATCGCGTATCTGAAACGTGAATAAATATATAAATGTACATATATTAAACATTCATAAGATAGCAAATGAATTATTCATGTGGGAAACTAGAATAGTAGCAATAACGATTAAATGTTTTTTTTTGTTTTTTTTACATTTCATTGTGTATAATTTATTGTAATTCCGACACGCTTTCATTAAACAATTCAATGTCCAAACAGGAATATTATCTATCAATTTGTAAGGAAATTCAATCTTGCGAGTTTGACTTCGTTTTTTTTTTTTGAAACAAATGAATAAATTGAATTTTAATATAATTAACATTGTTTTCACGGTTTATTGTTGTTTTTATTACAATTTTCTTGGTCACTAATGAACTAAGGTCTTTTTCGTTGACATTTGAATGTGGTGCTATTTTAACCACTTAACAATAGGTGGAATGTGAGCTCATCCACCCATTTAAGCAATAAAATAAAGAAAAAAGAATCTATATCACAGAAGTTACATATTATATATATGTCGGGGAAACTACATTATTAACTCCATCGTCAGACATCATAGGGGCGAATAGCTAAGGTGATCGAGTTAAGAGAAATATTGAGTACACAAAACACGTTTGTTATTTTGGAACAATTTAGAAATCTTCTTTTGACGTTAGCAAACGAAAACGAATGACGGTTCTTAGGACGGAGACACCGCTCTTCAAGAAGGCTGGTTGGTAAATGTGATGGCGTCTACGCGCCTCCATCGGCTAGGCTCTGTGGTAGCACGAAGTTAGCAGAGTTCCGATGACATTACGATCGTGTTGTCAACTCTCGGGAATCGTTACGTTTCACCACAATTTTTGACAAACAAAGAGTATATATACCTACATATGTGTCAAATACATGGCAGTGTGTGTAATGTTTTCTTTATTGATTTAATGTATGTTTTATGCATTATTTAAAAAAAAATTAGGATTGTGCACTCCTTCTTTATATTCTCTATAAGTGTTGGAAAATTCATACTCCTCCGTCCGCGCAATTTTCTTAAAATGGGGTACAAAGTTTTTGCTTCACGTATTAATATATAGATAAGTGGTACGCTGCTTGTACTATGTTTGTCTATATGTTATAAACTAACTTCTGATCGTCCGGGAAGTACAGCAGTGCGAGTAGACTGGGGTGTGTGAAGGCGCGCTGCGCATGCGCGTGCGCCCCCCCCGCCCGCGCCGCGTCCGCCCCCGCACCCTCCCCCGCGCCCCCCTCCAGCTCGGACACTGCGGCCGCGATGGACGCTCCCACTTCATCGTTTATCACTATGTTCGATATCTCCTCTGTAGAGAACAGCGACGGCTTAGTACGCAGTGGACACACCCTCGTATACATCTCCAGCTACTAACACACTATTCATATCCCGTCATCATAATCAGGACTAATACCTGGTGGAAGGGTAGCGGAAGCAAAAAGAAATACCAAACTCATAAATTGCAGGTGGTAGGACCTCTTGTGAGTCCGCACGGGTAGGTACCACCGCCCTGTCAATTTTTGCCGTGAAGCAGTAATGCGTTTCGGTTTGAAGTGTGGGGCAGCCTCAAGTTGGGTGGCGCATTTACGTTGTAGATGTCTATGGGCTCTAGTAAGCACTTAACTCCAGGTGGGCTGTGAGCTCGTCCACCCACCTAAGCATAAAAAAAATACTGTTAGAATTGTTTAATACCTAAACTCATCCCAGTAATATCAATATCAACTGACAGCTGTCACTTGTCTAATATGTGTCAACGTCAATTGTAGTTGTCACCCTCTCTTCCCTTTTCGGTCTACGAGCGACAAATAAATTCGTTTCGCTGTTCGAATAAAAACTATCCTTGCAAATCTCCGTTTTTTCATACAAAATTCCGAAGATCACTCCAACAATAACCACCTACCAGGCATGATATTTTATTTAAAAGTATGACATTTTTTTAATGAAATAATGGAATGATTAATGGTTGCTCAAAGGCCTTTCCAGTTTCACTAGGACAGGTGAGCGAGCAAAGGCTCAGCCAGGAGGAGTGGGATTTGCTAACAACTGCCCGAGCGCCTCCGAAGAAGACCTAACAATTCAATAGCTTCGCGAATGAATCTACTACCGGAATCGCGACCCGCTGAGAAGATCCGGTGAGAAACTCAGCGGGCTGATGCATGGGTCAGGTTGCACGGCGAACTCTTTGTCGAGTTCAACGAGTACGGTTACCGGGGTCCCTAAGCCTGCTCCTAGTGTTAGAGCTGAAGGCGTCTAATGCAAAAATTATTGGATCTGATGAATCCGTAAGGACGGTATGAAAATTAACAATAAATATTAGGTACAGTAGTGATCATTACTAATGATTGGCTTTGGTATAAAACAATTATGATAGTTGTTTCGAAAAGCCCTAACGCTACTTTATATATAATAATTCAAGATGTATTACCCAATAATTGCGCTAGAGACTGTAGAGTTCTTTCAGCGGATGTGACCTGCTCTAAGGTCCTGATGCGGAGTAGCGCGTCCACTTCCCAGCGGCGCGGCGACACCGACCTCAAAGGCTCTAAGTGTGCTCCTTCGATTGCGTCCTGTCAATTGCCGAAAAAGCTATAGTAGGACTGAAACCGTACATTTGACTTCCAATGAGAATGATCTATACTGCACCATGAGTATAGGTATTCCAACAACAAACCTACCACAGCATAGAGTCACTATTAAGAGTGAGGCACACAAAATAACTCCTAAACAAAACCAGTACACGCAAAGCCTGACTGATGACCTAACTTGGAGATTCTGCACGATATTTGTTTTAGGTATCGCGATGGTCAGCAGAGTCTATCGACAAACTTGTTGTTCAGGGTAGGGTCAATGGTAAAGGATCTCGTGGACGTGGCCTCAAGCGTTGGACTGATCCATATTATATATCGGCGCAACATTACTATTTAGTTAACTAAGATTGGTTAAAGTTAACTGTCTTCTTAATATTGACATAGTTTGTTGACTATTGTAAGGCCAACGCGTGTAAACAATTGTTTAAGACTCTGTTCATAGCAATTCATGAATTATAACAAGAAAGCTTCTTCAGCTATCTGAACTGACGCTTAAAAATATCGAACCGTTGATGCTAATACCAAATAAAACGGACATTTAATTACAAAGATGAATGTCGCTTATTAAGCGAAACGTCTTAAGCTATATGGCCTTTCACCCCCTCGATATCTTCCTCCCATTTGGTATATGGTCTTTCCTTTTTTTTTTTTTTTTTTATTGCTTAGATGAGTGGACGAGCTCACAGCCCACCTGGTGTTAAGTGGTTACTGGAGCCCATAGACATCTACAACGTAAATGCGCCACCCATCTTGAGATATAAGTTCTAAGGTCTCAATTATAGTTACAACGGCTGCCCCACCCTTCAAACCGAAACGCATTACTGCTTCACGGCAGAAATANGCGGCGAGTAGGTGTCTGTGTGTGCGTGCGCAGCGGAGTGTGAATCGGTGACCATTTTATTTCCACGAAATGGGAATAACTAATTTCACAAATAATCAATGTTAACGCACATATAAATAATATTTGGTGTATGCATAGCGTTTATACTATTAAAGTCTAATTGGGGTGTTTGAGGGTGTGCGTTAAATATGTTACATGTTGTATATGTCGGGGAAACCGCATTATTAACACCATCGTCAGACATAATAGGGGCGAATAGCTAAGGTGATCGAGTTAAGAGAAACATTGAGTACACCAAATATGTTTGTTGTCTTAGAACAATTTAGAAATCTTCTCTTGACGTTAGCAAACGAAAACGAATGACGGTTCTTAGGACGGAGACGCCGCTCTTCAAGAAGGCTGGTTGGTAATTGGTAAGTGTGATGGCGTCTACGCGCCTCCATCGGTTAGGCTCTATCGTAGCACGAAGTTAGCAGAGTTCCGACGACATTACGATCGTGCTGCCATCTCTCGGGAATCGTGTCGCGTTTCGTTTTGCTACCAAACTAACGACCATCTCCGACATATATTTAATAAGTGTAATCTATACTAATATATAAATATACAGTGCTTTTTACGGATGTTCCGTTACTACTGAACCATGCATCCGATTGACTTGAAACTTGGTACCCCTGTAGAAAATACATGTACTTAATGGATAGGCTAATATTTATATGAGTGTTGGACTCCCTAATAATAATGACAATAAATAATTATGTTAATTTGAAATGCCCAGTGTAAGCGGGCGAGTATGGCTAGTCATAATAATATATAAGCGGTACGCTGCTTGTAGGTACTATTCTTGTCTATATGCTTTATACTAACTTCTGATCGTCCGGGAAGTATAGCAGCGCGAGTAGACTGGGGTGCGTGAAGGCACGCTGCGCATGCGCGTGCGCCCGCCCCGCCCGTGCCGCGTCCGCCCCCGCACCCTCCCCCGCACCCGCCTCCAGCTCGGACACCGCGGCCGCGATGGACGCGCCCACTTCATCGTTTATCACTATGTTCGATATCTCCTCTGTAGAGAACAGCGACGGCTTAGTACGCAGAGGACACACCCTCGTATACATCACCAGCTACTAACACACTATTCATATCCCGTCATCATAATCAGCATCAAAACCTGGTGGAAGGGTAACGGAAGCAAAAAGAAACACCAAACTCATAAATTGGTGGTGGTAGAACCTCATGTGAGTCCGCACGGGTAGGCACCATCACCCTGCCTATTTCTGCATTTCTGCCGTGAAGCAGTAATCCGTTTCGGTTTGAAGGGTGGGCAGCCGTTGCAACTATATTGAGACCTTAGAACTTATCTCAAGTTGGGTGGCGCATTTATGTTGTCGATGTCTATGGGCTCTAGTAACCACTTAACAACAGGTGGTCTGTGAGCTCGTCCACCCATCTAAGCATAAAAAAAAATTTCTGTTAGAATTGTATAATACCTAAACGCATCCCAGTAATATTAATATCAACTGACAGCTGTCACTCGCCTAATATATGTCAACGTCAATTGTAGTTGTCACCCTCTCTTCCCTTTTTGGCCTACGACCACTGACGAATAAATGCGTATCGCTGTTTGAATAAAAACTATCCTTGCAAATCTCCGTCTTTTCATACGAAACCCAGACGATTAGTCCAACAATTACCACTTCAAAAGCTTCGGGCCGGAATGTAGGTATGATATTTTATTTAAAGGTATGAGTTTTTTTAGTGAAATAATCGAATGATTACTGGTGGCTCGAAGGCCTTTCCAGTTTCACTAGGACAGGTGGGCGAGCAAGGGCTCAGCCAGGAGGGGTGGGATTTGCTAACAACTGCCCGAGCGCCTCCGAAGAAGACCTAACTATTCAATAGCAGCTGCTTCGCGAATGAATCTACTACCGGATCGGAATCCCGACCCGCCGAGAAGATCTGGAGAGAAACTCAGCGGGCTGATGCATGGGTTAGGTTGCACGTCGACCTCTTTGTCGAGTTCGACGAGTACGGTTACCGGGCTCCCTAAGCCTGCTCCTAGCTGAAGGCGTCTAATGCAAGACCTATATTAAGTACAGTAGTGATCATTACTAATGATTGTCTTTGGTATAAAACAATTATGATAGTTGTTTCGTAAAGCCCTAACGCTACTCTATACAATTAAAAATGTATTACCCAATAATTGCGCTAGAGACTGTAGGGTTCTTTCAGCGGATGTGACCTGCTCTAAGGTCCTGATGCGGAGTAGCGCGTCCACCTCCCAGCGGCGCGGCGACACCGACCTCAAAGGCTCTAAGTGTGCTCCTTCGATTGCGTCCTGTCAATTGCCGAAAAAGCTATATTAGGACTGAAACCGTACATTTGACTTCCAATGAGAATGATCTATACTGCACCATGAGTATAGGTATTCCAACAACAAACCTACCACAGCACGAAGTCACTATTAAGAGTGAGGCACACAAAATAACTCCTAAACAAAACCAGTACACGCAAAGCCTGACCGATGACCTAACTTGCCGATTCTGCACGAAATTAGCTTCAGGTATCGCGACGGCCAGCAGAGTCTATCGTGAAACTTTTTCTTCAGGGTAGCTTCAATGGTAAAAGACCTCGTGGACGTGGCCCCAAGCGTTGGACTGATCCATATTATATATTGGCGCAACATTACTATTTAGTTAACTAAGATTAGTTAAAGTTAACTGTCTTCTTAATATTGGCATAGTTTGTTGACTATTGTAAGTCCAACGCGTGTAAGCAATTGTTTAAGACTGTGTTCATAACAATTCATGAATTATAACAAAAAAGCATGAATTATAACAAAGAACCGTTGATGCTAATACCAAATAAAACGGACCTTTAATTACAAAGATAAATGTCTCTTATTAAGTGAAACGTCTCTTAAACCATATGGCCTTTCACCCCCTCGATATCTTCCTCCCATTTGGTATATGGCCTTTCCTTTTCCTAGTCCTAGTTTTATGAATTACTAAAGATTAAAAATACCTTTTTGGTGATCCCGAGCAGTTCCCTGAGGTGGGACACGAACGCGCCCATGACCTGTCCCACGCTGGGCTCGAACTCCCGGACCTGCTGGGAGCACTGCTCGGCCGGGGGACTGGCGATCACCACGCCCCCCCACTTGGGGGACATAAAAGCTTGTATCGACAAAGGATTTTTGCGACCTACAAGGAAAAGCTTCATTAGGGACACCTGAATACACCGTTTGATTTATTAAGATCGCTAGTAATTTTTTTTTTGTTAACTAATTATCGCTTTTACATGACGTCCTGTGAGCCTGCACGGGTAGGTACCACCACCCTGCCTATTTCTGCCGTGAAGCAGTAATGCATCTTGGTTTGAAGGGCGGGGCAGCCGTTGTAACTATACTGAGACCTTAGAACTCTTATCTCAAGGTGGGTGGCGACATTTACGTCGTAGATGTCTACGGACTCCGGTAACCACTTAACACCAGGTAAGTTGGGAGCACGGAATAGATAAATAAGGTTGGAATGGTAATGTAGGCGGGGCAAGCGTGCCACAGTTATGATAGAACAAACATAACTCGACCGATTCTTTCATTCACCGCGTTTAGTGCGCTTCGGACTACTTGGCGAACAGATCTCCGCTTTATAGTGCCGTGTTGTGCAATTATAACTTGTAAAACAAAAAATCAGACCTCAAGTATAGAGCGAGGAGGTATATCTTTCGATCGGTAAGTCGAAATTACCATTTAATTACAATATTATTTGTCTAAAACATAAAAATATACTGAGCATTATGAAATTCCAAACATTAACAATATTATTGCAGCAAGTTATAAATAGCATACATTGCGCGATGTGTACTCGCCCAATGAACGCAATGACCAAGTCAGCTTCCAATGTACTACATGCATTGCGTTCTCTACACTTCAATCTTTGAAATTTCGGCCTTTGCCCTGATTGGCCGTGGTGCACGGCGCTAGTTTGTCGATAGTGAGGTGACCATGTGGTGAAATAAAATCATCGACAGAATTCTCGACTATATTTACATTTGACATGGATAATTTTTGCATTATTTTATATTTAATTAATGATACCTAGTATATTCTTAGTGAGACGTATTTTGAGTAAAATAAATATGTATTATTATTATTGAATTATTATCATTGAATTAAAGTGAAGGTATAATATAAAGGGACATGTAGACCTCTCATTTACGGGTATTTACTATATTGTCTAAGACGTATTAAAATCTAAGTAAAATGCCATTTGACTTATGCAGTAAATAAAAAATTTTAGGTTTCCTAAAGAACCTAACGCCAGGGAACAATGGATTGACGTGACAGGTAGAGGAAACTGGAGACAAAGACGAGTACTATTTGCTCTAAACATTTTACTGAAAATGATTTTACCATAAAAAAAATCAGAATACACTTAGTTTTGAAAAATTCATTCGCAATTAATAGCAAGCGCCAACTGCTTAACAAATACGTTTTATTCCAGCGACAGTGACTATTTGTAATTAATAAAAGTAAAATAGTTTTTTTTTTTCAATATTTATTTCATGTTTCATTTTCTCCATTCATTCATCAGATAATTTATCGATAAAGAATATCGATTTTATCAAGCACTAGCGTGTATGAACATTTTTATTGCCTTTTTGCGTGTGGGAGTGTGTATTCCTACGGGTGTTTTGTGCTAGTTTGCGAACGAATATCTGTCCTGAGATTTATGTGTGGGTGTTTTTGTTGTGTGCGAAATACTTGTAATCACAGTGTGTGTATGTGTAGAATTTAAATTGTGGGGATGAAGCGGCGACACTGGTTCTAATACAAAATTAGAGCAAAGGCCTTTCCAACCTTATTTATCTATTCCGTGGTTGGGAGCTTGTGCAAACATCTAAGCTATAAAAAATGATCACAGCAAATGGACAACACAACACAAAAGTCATGGTCGTAGGGCATATTGTGAGCAGACACGGGTGCGGACCATCATCCCGTCTGCTTATACCGCGAAGTAGCCAACCTTCGCTTGGAGTGAGAGACAGTCACTATGCAATAAAGTCGAGATTTCAATGTCATGCCTTAATAGTTCATCGAACTAAGAATCGAAATCTATTGCTGTTCGTTAGTCTCGCTAAAACTCGAGAACGACTAGACCGATTTGGCTAATTTTGGTCTTGAACTATTTGTGGAAGTCCAGAGAAGGTTTAAAATTTGTTTTAAGTTTATTTTTTACAAAAGTTAGGTCTTTTATTTATCGATTGAGGTACTACGATGTTTGCCGGGTCAGCTAGTAAGTAGATAAATAAGTCGCACCGCTCGATACGATTATATCGAAGATCTCATCATTTAGGCCACGGCGGTAAGAGACAAAAGGTCGGATATCAAAATTCTTAACTTTCCCAATTTAAACATTTTAATTTGTCAATAATGTCTAATGCATTAAGGTTTTCTTTTTATTGCTTAGGTGGGTGGACGAGCTCACGGCCCACCTGGTGTTAAGCGGATACCGGAGCCCATGGACATCTACAACGTAAATGCACCATCCACCTTGAGATATAAGTTCTAAGGTCTCAGTATAGTTACGATGGCTGCCCCGCCTTTTAAACCGAAACGCATTACTGCTTCACGGCAGAAATAGGCAGGGTGGTGGGACCTACCCGTGCGGACTCAAAAGACGTCCAACCACCAGTAAAAAGGAAAAAAAAACTACAGGTTTTTTTTAAAGTGACGTATTCCTAAGTTTTATCTGATTTCCTAAGATAGCGAGTTTACCTTCATTATCGTATATAATAATGGGAGCTTTATCGCAGGGAACAATGTAGAGCGCCAGGTTGATCGTCGATAGCTCGGAGACGTGCGTCGCGGCCCGTTCCTCGAGCCTTGTCAATAACAATGACAGCCGGTCCTGACGCACCGCGAAGTGACGTCCCCATTCACTGGCTTCTTTTATCTTAATTATGAATAAATTGTGAAAAATTAAAATACAGTTCCCGCCGATAAACGTTGCACAACGACTCATTAAGAGAAAGAAGAAAGCGACGATCGGCTAATTTCGGCTTCGGAGACAGAGATAGCGCTATACGAATGAGAATGCTCTGAGGAATTGTTTGAGATGTTCCCCTCATCTCCTTTTTATCATCGCACCTTCCGCCATCGGAGCAGAGTTCATCCATATTATCTGGAACCGCTGCGTTCATCGACAGTGCGTTTCCAGAGGTCTTTTTTGCCACGTACCATCCGGCTATGGAATGAGCTCCCCTCCACGGTGTTTCCCGAGCGCTATGGCGACGATAACCACTCACCATCAGGTGGGCCGTATGCTCGTATACCTACAAGAGCAATAAAAAAAAATACGAAGCCTAAATTGGCCGATGTGCTCACAGATTATAACACATAAATTAGTTATAGATAAGCAACCCCGAGCACGCAACAAAAATGTTTACGGGTGTCGGCCACTAGATGGCTTCGCTTCGATTAGTTTCTCATTGCTCCTGTAGATGGCAGTAATATAGTACGTATCCTATATTTTATTTTTAATGAAGGATTTTGTAAATTTTTAGAAACCACTAATTGGTAAAATTTAATCAATTTGTCTATAACAAATAAGGACTTGTATGATTTATTTATTTTTTATTTTCTGTGTTTGGTTGCATAATAATTAAATGTCTTAATTTTAACAACATATAAGTTTAGGGGCATCCGCTAGAAGTCGATAGTTACCATCCAAAAAAAAATATTTGTCTTAAAGTATGGTAGTTTCAGAGCCCTGGATGGGCTATATTTTTCCGCGTCTACAATATTCCGTTTGACATTGACAGCTGTGGCTCTGACAGATAATATATTTATCTAATTAATACGTGAAGCAAAAACTATGTACCCCTTTTTACGAAAATTGCGCGGACGGATAGGTATGAAATTTTCCACACTTATAGAGAATATAGTGAAGGAGTGCAGTATACTAATATATTTTTTGAATTATGCATAAAAAATACATTAAATCAATAAAAAAAAACATTACACACACTACCATGTGCTTACCACACACGAATATATATTCTTTTGTTTATTCTCAAAGTCTGTGGTCTAATTGAGAATAAATTAATATTGTTTGTCTACAGTCTATAATATTATATGTCTATAAATGTAGTGTAGTAATAGAACCATAATAATGCTCAAACTTATAATTTAAAGTAATTATAGTCGTATTTCGATCACTGGGCGACCACTAGTATTAATTCAAAAGTCATCTTATAGAAATCAACATTACGCATTTCCCTCTTTTCATCATTTAAAACTAAAGTTATTTTCTTAATGTTTTTCTTATTAAATCATATTTCTGAAAATTTTCGGAAAAAAACTACCAAAAAATGGGCACTTTTGATAATTTTAGAACGTTCTTGGTTCCTGCAACTAATCTATACTATATAAATCTACTGTGGTTTTTACGGATGTTCCGTTATAGCTACTGAACCGTGCATCCGATTGACTTGAAACTTGGTATCCATGTAGAAAATACATGTACTTAATGGACAGGCTAATATTTATATGAGTGTTCGATTCCCTACACCAGTTGCGGGGGCGTTAATAATGTTATTTGTGGGGGTGAGAAATAATAATGTTACTTTGAAATGCCCAGCGAAGCGGACGGGTACAGCTAGTCATTTATGAAATAACAAAAAAGAAAACAAAGGTAATGAATGCTGTAGATGCAGATAGTATGATATTAACTTATTATATAAACTGCCCTAGAGATACTGTCTAGGGACGAATTAGGGTTTCATAAATGGCTTACCTCTCTAGCTTGAAACTCAAAATCGAGTAGATGAAGCCACTGCGACTTCAGCGTGAAGTTGTGCAAGGAGCTTAACTCGTCGACAAAGCTGCCAATGTAATCTGAGAAATGTATACTTTTTTTTTAATGGTTTAGATGGATGGACGAGATCAAAGCCCACATGGTGTTAAGTGGTTACTGAAGCCTATAGACATCTATAGCGTAAATGCGCCACCCACCTTGAGATATAGGTTCTAAGGTCTCAAGTATAGTTACAACGGCTGCCCCGCCCTTCAAACCGAAACGCATTACTGCTTCAAGGCAGAAATAGGCGGGGCGGTGGTATCTACCCGCGCGGACTCACAAGAAGTCCTATTAACAGTAAAAGTGTCCATTTAACGGAATAAATCTGGAAATTGCTGAATTAGGTGAAATCTTAGTCATACCCTCGACAGCTTCAGCGGCATTCCAAACAACTTGCATTGTGTCAGGCCTTGGATGCACTATGGACAGTGTGATGTGGTAGGCCGACTCCGGCGGGAACCTCGTGCTTCGGGCTTGATCAGGAGTGTCCGATCTGGCTCCTCGGAGTACTGAAGTCTGATATATCCAGCCGTCTAACGCTTTCACTATTGTTTCTGATGCTGTACACGTTATTAGATGGGAGTTTTTATTCGCATACGGTCAAATAAGTTCACAGTTCAACTAGTGTTATTGATCTGTAGCTGGGACCTTGAAGATACAGCAACTTAAATGACATGGCTTGGAGACATGAGTGGAAGAATTTTAATGTTGCACACATGCGAGCCTAAATTTCTCCTCTCCAGAAGTAAAATTACAACAGGCGGCAGGCGACAGGGCTAAATGCTATGAACGTTTTATGGATGATATTATAATAATAATCACATATTTTGCGTAAGAGGATCGCAAATGATTATTAATATAATATCATCCATAAAACGTTCATAACATATAGCCCTTCTATACCACTGCTTCTCATTCTCTTTAACAACTTCTTCACAATCACGACATACTTGAAGTATTATGATGATAATTTTTAATTTATGATCTGTTTAAATAGGTTTCTTAACTTTGTTGGAAACATAAAGCTTTTAAAGGAGCTTATAAAGCCTTCACGGGCTGTTTCAGATTGTGGATAAAATTTACCTTTCTCATCATCGAAGAACATTATTCTTTCGTTGCCAACCCAGATATTGTGAGACAACGATTTCTTTTGCACCACGTGGAATATATTTTCTTGGTCGAGGTCCAATGTAGAAGCTAGTTCTTCGACGGCTTTCTCCATATCAACCACCGACCGCAAAATGTGCTGTTGTCGCTCCGACATTACTGTTTTCTCGATTTTGATCTTTATTATATCTGCAATTGTTTTGAAATTAATTTGAAATTGCATACGGGCAATTAACATAATCTTAAGTACATCGATGGGGTGGTCTGTTTTGAACACTACCCAATAAACTTCAGCGTTGCCATTGACTACGCAGGAATATGATCGTGCCAAACCAATCCAGCAATAATTAATTAATTGGCTTACTAATACTGGCACTTCTACGATCATCTAACCCCAACTCGTAACTCGGGTTCAGTCCTCGCGACCGTAACATTTAGCGTTAACATTTATTAATTACTAGCTGACCCGGCAAACTTTGTAGTGCCTCAATCGATAAATAAAAGACCTAAACTTTTGTATAAAATAAACTTACAACAAACAAAATTGTTGTTTTTATTTAATTCCAAGCATTTTCATATTTATCTACCTTCTCTGGACTTCTGCAAATAATTCGAGACCAAAATTAGCCAAATCGGTCCAGCCGTTCTCGAGTTTTAGCGAGACCAACGAACAGCAATTCATTTTTATATGACACCATTAACTTTTAATATTTATAGCATAGAACATTTGTACATGATTGAGTGTATTAAAGTGAGCTAGTAAAATACAGACTTATCATTAGTAAACAACTACTGCACCCCAGCTCTGTGCCCACACGCTAGGATTCCATGTGTTCCCAAATTATTACCATGAAACCGATGTCTTTATTTCTGCTAATTGTTTATTAAGCTCGGGTGGGCGTGGGCATTTAAAATCAGGTGGGACGTGCGTGTGCGGTGGGCAGGAAATACGTCAGCCTGCCCGTCAAAGGTAAGGAAATAAAGAATGTTTCTTTCGATTAATTAACTCTGGTTAAAACCCTCTGACCTACTTACGAAAATGAAAGTAAACAAAACATAAATCTTGTCTGTTCTCTTGGCCGAAAATCAACAACGAGACCGCAATCAGATAACACAAACTTTTGGTCTACGTAAATTAGGTCTCGGAAGATATGCCAAATAAATGTGGCCTCAGAAATACAAAGTAAACAGTGCGCAGTCAACAGCCTCAAGTAAGGAAATCCATCCGTGATAGGTGTCTGAAGCGAGAAAAGAACAAGTCGGGCACTAGCTGCGGATAATTGGCATAGCGGGTTCACGAAGATCTCTCTATAGCTGCAAAGATATGCTTGGTAAATGTGTCTTTCGGTAGTTGTGGAATGCCTTACCTTGCGTAAACCATGTTGCTAAGTTATGAGTGGATTTGGATAGACAATTTCGACCTTATTTTACTGGTGGTAGGACCTCTAGTGAGTCCGCGTGGGTAGGTACCACCAGCCTGCTTATTTCTGCCGTGAAGCAGTAATGCGTTTCGGTTTGAAGGGTGGGGCAGCCGTTGTAACTACACTTGAGACCTTAGTACTTATATCCCAGGGTGGCGCATTTACGTCGTAGATGTCTATGGGCTCCAGTAACCACTTAACACCAGGTGGGCTGTGAGCTCGTCCAACCATCTAAGCCATAAAAAATAATATTTAGAATGCCTACAACAGACCAGATCCATTTAATTAAAAAAGGACTTACCAGATTCAGCAAATGCCTTCTGTATCTCGCTGACGATCTTAGATGCTGTAGCGTCATCGTTGGCTAAGACTTTCAGTTCAGTTGTGACGAAATGCGATAGAGGTTTGAACGATGAAATCTTTTCGTACGGCAGCGAGACCCTGGAACATTTGAATTGGGGTTTCTCAACAGTTTGAAGCTCTGCGAAATAATTACAATAATCTCCCCTATAACGGTAGATTATAGGAGACTCATTGTAGGGGTGTTCTCGCATAACGCGCTTGTATGAACCCATATAAAGCGCTATGTACAAATATAATATACAAAGAAACATAATACAATACAAATCAGAAATCAGAAAATTTATCAGAAATCTCCAAATGCTTGAAAGGGGCTACATGTGATACTATAAGGCTGGCTGGTACTTTGCACAGAGAGTGAGTCTGACTGTCCAACGAGGTAACGCAGCCAGTATCTTGGGAACTGTGCCCCCTTCAAGCGCATTGGAAGATTTGTTCTACTGTATATAAAACTAGCGACCCGCCCTCGCTTCGCTTCGGAAACTGTAATTTATTATTGATTTCTCCACTATTTAATGGATGTTATTATACATATAAACCTTCCTCTTTAATCACTCTATCTATTTAAAAAAACCGCATCAAAATCCGTTGCGTAGTTTTAAAGATTTAAACATACATAGGGATATATTTTGGCGGTAGGCAGCGGCTTGGCTCTGCCCTTGGCATTGCTGAAGTCCATGGGCGACGGTAACCACTCACCATCAGGTGGGCCGTATGCTCGTCTGCCTACAAAGGCAATAAAAAAAAAATATAGGGACAGAGAAAGCGACTTTGTTTTATATTATGTAGTGATAAAAAAAAAGTAAGAACACAAATTTAAGAAATTAATTTAATTTCATTTTATAACAGCACAATTGACACACGTGCAAGGGCACGTGAAATTAATTATGAACTGTACAAATTATTATAAATTTCACAGTATGTACAGAAATGTAGCGGGTGGAATCGCGTTATATGGGGGAATATCCGTGTTAAACGAGGGATTGAAATCGCGTAACTTGAAAGATTGCGTTATAAGAGTACCGTTTTATATAGGGGTTTACTGTAAATTAAGATCCGAAAGAAACTTCTGGTTTACAGTAGGCACTGCCTTATCTTACAATCTTTATTTTATGAGAACTGGTGGTAGGACCTCTTGTGAGACTGCACGGGTAGGTACCACCTCCCTGCCTATTTCTGTCGTGAAGCAGTAATGCGTTTCCGTTAGAAGGGTGGGGCAGACGTTGTAACTGTACTGAGACCTTAAAATTCATATCTCAAGGTGGGTGGCGCATTTACATTGTAGATGTCTATGGGCTCCGGTAACCACTTAATACGACGTGGGCTGTGAGCTCGTCCAAACATCTATGCAATAAAAAAAAACAAAAAGAAACCGGAAATAGTCAAAATGATTTCATATTTAAATAGCGCAAAACAAAAAGGTAATAAGTTTGACGTCCAATTTTCGTGGTACTGAACCTTGGCCGAATTTTCGCCTACGCACGATATTGTCTACGTCATCTACGCCGAATGAAAGTCCCTACACATCGGATACGTTAGTCAACGATAACGGTAGGAGCATTGCGATGAAAAAATTTAAACCCTAATCTCAACTTGTAATTTAACTTTACATTCGCAAACAATCTTTTTTTCCCTACCTAAGCTGATAGTCTTGACAAGGCTATTTCAGCGGAACCTTAACTAGTAGGTGAGCTCACGGGGCTCAAACCTGATGACGTTGCTAACATGAACCCTAGCAACAGCCGTGCTTCGCAGAATCTACCATCGGATCGGAAACGCGACCCACTGAGAAGATCCGGCGAGAAATTCAGTGGGCTGTGTCTGAGAGTTAATTTACTCGTCGAGCCCTTCGTCGCAAGCGACGGGTTCGACGAGAACGGTGACCGGTGCTTGAGGTACCTAAAAGCACCGTTAGTGGATCGAGAGGATCCGAAATGACATGTTTCCGGCGACGTCGACTGCTTTCCATTCTTTCCGCAGGATCGGGAATGACAAACAACCAAGTTTGCTACGACACTATCGCAACGTCTACCACCGGAGTAGAGCTCATCCATACTACCTGGAGCCACTGCGTTCATCCACAGTGCGTTTCCAGAGGTCTTTTTTGCCACACCATCCGGCTATGAAATGAGCTCCCCTCCACGGTGTTTCCCGAGCGCTATATCCTACTTCAAACGAGGCTTGTGGAGAGTATTAAGCGGTAGGCAGCGGCTTGGCTTGGGAACTTGCATTGCTGGCGTCCATAAGTGACGGTAATTCCTCATCATCAGGTGAGCCCTATGATCGTCTGCCAACACGGGTGATAAAAAATAAAAACTAAAACCTTCATCAGACTCAATTCCCATGCAAATTCAATGATTCAATTGATAGCTACAGTAAGGACATGGTGACTTTTAGTAAATCCGTTATTGCTTCTTGTAAGCTCTCGTAACTATACTGAGACCTTTATATCTCAATGTAGGTGGCGCATTTACGTTGTAGATGTCTCCAGTAACCACTTAACACCAGGTGGGCTGTGAGGTCGTCCACCCAACTAAGCAATAAAAAATAAATAAATAAAAGTCACTCGTTATGAATGACATTGTCAAATCAGGCGTTTTATGAGAGCGACAATATAGAAGATAACCTGTGACATGCTGTACCAAAATGCAACGTTATCGAATTATATAAATATAAGTTTACTTCTAAAGATTCGGTTATCGTTACAGCGAAAGGTCGATGAGCAATAAAACGCGGATAATTTGGCGATAAGCGTTCGCGAGACTGTTTATTGTTGTGTTCAGAGGTTAATTAATATCTAGATTTAATTTAAATTAAATTTAGGTATTGAATTCGATCACTTCGCAATTGCTGACAGTGATAATGGTTGTGTTTGGTTTATTCTACGCCTAGCTTTTTTTAGTGGTTAGACTACATCGTGAATAGATCTGTGTTCCATTTATTTATTTATTTTCTTTGTTTTCAATGCGTCCTAACAAATGTCGACAAACACAATAGTCTGGCTTACTTCTATCGCGAACCACTCATACCTCCGGCTATGAAGGGATCCAACTGAGTTTTCGGTCTCATGTTGCAAGTTCTTTTTTTTAGCCCATATACATCTACAACGTAAATGCGCCACCCACCTTGAGATATGAGTTCTAAGGTTTCAGTATAGTTACAACAGCTACCCCACCCTTCAAGCCGAAACGCATTACTTCTTCACGGCAGAAATAGGCAGGGTGGCAGAGATAGGTAGCATTTAAGGCCGTGAGTGAGTGAGGTAAGGTCGGAGTGAGTGTGCTGAGCACGCTGCGAACAGCCCCCCACCGTCTCACCCCTGCATCACTTCACCCCGGCCCTGAGTGGCAGAGAGCTTCTGCCCGGGCAGAGGGGTTTGCCTCCAGGCCCGTTCCGTGCCCCTACAAGGGAACACGACGATCCTTCTTATCTTATCTACGGCCCAGAAATTTAACTGTCTATTTCTAAGCAGACCGAATTTAAGTTCCAGCCTCTCCATTTGTTGAAACAGTAATGTGTTTCGGTTTGAAGGGTGGGGCAACCGTTGTAACTATACTTGAGACCTCAGAACATACATCTCAAGGTGGGTGGCGCATCTACGTTGTGGATGTCTATGGGCTCCAGTACCCACTTAACACCAGGTGGGCTGTGAGCTCGTCCACCCATCTAAGCAATAAAAAAAAATATCAACAGTTTTAATGGACAATCCTTCCCTTCCCTTTGTCGTTAACTCTTAAAATAATTAGACTTCCCTAAGTACAACGACAATATAAATACCGAGTCTGATACCGCAGTCTTATATTAGGTTAGTGTGTTTTGTTAATATTAGTAGAGTTTATCTTATTTATTTTTAAGTGAGCAGTAATTTTATTGTAATTTATAGTAAATCTAATTGCTGCGGTATTTTTTCTTATGCGTTAAGCATTTTTTCTCGTTCCGAGCAAATTAGCTCGTTCTTCTATTTAATTGAGTATTTGTAAAAGCTTTTGGGGCGGTAGCCATCATACAACGCAAGATATTTGACAGATGGCTGAATGTCACTTACGACATTTTCAAGATAAGCTTGCATATTATCTATACTAATATATAAATCTACAGTGGTTTTTACGGATGTTCCGTTATAACTACTGAACCGTGCATCCGATTGACTTGAAACTGGGTATCCGTGTAGAAAATGCATGTATTTAATGGATAGGCTAATATTTATATGAGTGTTGGACTCCCTGTTGGACTCCCCCTACACCAGTTGCAGGGGTGTTAATGATGAGAATCTTTGTGGGGGTGAAAATAATAATGTTCATTTTAAATGCCCAGCGAAGCGGACGGGTACAGCTAGATATATACAAGTTGTAACAATAACATTTGGACCGTCGGTCTACCGAGCAATATCACCCGCTCGGTGGAAGATTTTCCCTCCGTCGCGGCGTCGTTAATCCCAAACTTTCAATTTATTCTTTAGTTAAAATTAAATAACTAAAAATAAAGCAAGCATTTGTAAGCGTATTATTTTAATCGTAAATGAAGCGTATCATTTTTCGCTCATTATCGTTGTGTAATTTTACGACCGTTCTTGGATGTTAATTAATATGATTCAAGTACAAACAAAGCTTAAATTTTTAATACAATCCGAAATTGATAACGGACAGTGTTTTTGAGTGTCTTTGATAAAAAAAAATACATTTTCAGGCCACAGCTATCCACTGCTGGACATAATATGTCCCTCTCAAATTGTGCCAGTGCCAAATTAATAGCGCTCCTCGTTCGAATTCTTATATAACGTCGCTTTATGTCTTTTTTTTTCCTACCTAAGCTGGTAGCCTGGAGCGGCTATTCCAGCGTAACCGTGAGCTAGTAGGTGAGCTCACGGGGCTTAAACCTGATGCTAACATGAACCCTAGCAAGAGCCGTGCTTCGCAGAATCTACCACCGGATCGGAAACGCGACCCACTGAGAAGATCCGGCGAGAAACTCAGTGGGCTGTGTCTGAGAGTTAATTTACTCGTCGAGCCCTTCGTCGCAAGCGACGGGTTCGACGAGAACGGTGACCGGTGCTTGAAGTACCTAAAAGCACCGTTAGTGGATCGGGANTGCTAACATGAACCCTAGCAAGAGCCGTGCTTCGCAGAATCTACCACCGGATCGGAAACGCGACCCACTGAGAAGATCCGGCGAGAAACTCAGTGGGCTGTGTCTGAGAGTTAATTTACTCGTCGAGCCCTTCGTCGCAAGCGACGGGTTCGACGAGAACGGTGACCGGTGCTTGAAGTACCTAAAAGCACCGTTAGTGGATTGGGAGGATCCGACATGACGTGTAAGCTTTATGTCACTAGAAGTGAAACTTCTTTAGCGGTGTGCAGGATTTAAGTATTCTTCACTTTTCATCCATAAATTAAATTTTTCTTGTAATAGGAAATACTGTGTATAAGAGAAACGACTTAGCTTGTTTAGTCCTTTCCCTCTCCCCACGGTCGAGTGGTTCGCGAGACGCTTTATCTATTTTCTCACTCTCGCTTCTCCTAAATTGTATCTTTTCTCTCTAGCCGTAACGAATCTGTCACGAATTAAATTTTACTCTCAACGCAGCTAAAGTTTCATAAAAGTTTCACTTAAAAAATCACAACATGAATATTTTCTTCCGTTAGCGCGTCTCGGTTATTGGAACAGCGCCCCTAGCGGCAAACGTACGCAAACGATCCCATACCATACAAATATGAGTTAACTTTAACGCTATCGAGAACGTTAAAAAACTCGCACAAAGCACACTGAAGTCAGTTTAAAAAAAAAATCCTTTTACGTTTTGTTTCGCAATGCTTTGTGTTCCGGCAGATTGAATTGATTAGGATGCTGTTCAAACAAGATTTTTCGCTAGACAAGATTGATTATACGATTCGCGATTTTAAGCTTACACGTTGAGACCGGCGAGCGCGTCCTATACTCATTCCGAATCGCGATTAATCAGCGCCTTATCTTACATCTTTTTCAAATTATGATGGAGTGTGTCCGCGGAATGATGATTTGAGACAACAATTCTTTGCAAAATATACAAATTTTCGAGAAGTTGGAGGTGTAAATTGCGTATTAGATTTTCCGGAATCCGAAATAGCTAAGTCACTTTATAAAATACTAGCGGCCCGCTTCGGCTCTGCTCGGGTCTTTAACAAAAATTTCAACGATATTTGACGTTGTTTTATTTTTTTAAATAAAATAACACTTATTGTGGCATAACTATAATAGTCAGACATATGATGTCGCGACACTTTTTGTAAATAATAATGTGTTCTACAAAGTCGTAGTACATTATTGTATTCTATCATCAATAGTTTTCGCAGGGCACGCGATGTAAAGAATATTTTTGGTGATTTTTTTACACCTTGGGTTATATTATTGGAGTTTTAGTAAGGATTCCAAATTTTTTTCAAAAAAGATTATAGCCTATGTCACTCGGGAATAGTGTAGCTTCCAAACAGTGAAAGAATTTTTCAAATCGGTTCAGTAGTTTCGGAGCCTATTCAATACAAACAAACAAACAAATCTTTCCTCTTTATAATATTATTATATTTTTATATATTATATTATATATTTTATATATTACTTTATAATATTATAGTATAGATATAATAAAATAGTGTTGGTGAGCCTTCAGAGACGATAACAGTTTCCTTTATTTTTTTATATTATTTTTTGTTACTATCTTTTGTTGCACAATGGAGTGACATATTCACTAGGTGAATAATCTCCTTAAATAAAGATATAAAAAAAAAAACTTACATCTGTTTACACGGTTTGAGAGACCGAACAGACATCCTTTTGATGACCACGAGAGAATTTTCCGTGACCTTGATTTATTCTCTACACTATATCGACATTGGTTCCGTGGTCTCCGTTTGGCAATTGCTATGCCCGCTGCCGGGGCAGAGTCCAAAACACCAGTGTGCTTAGTGCGAGTTTTTCAACTTCTCGAACGCGTAAAAGTTAACTCAAATTCGAATGGAGTTGGAACAGCTACCCTTAATTTGCTCCTAACCCGCAGTAAGCACACAGGAATCTACATTCATACGGTTCCGTGAAAATAACTCGTTTTCCCTATGCTGGGCGTTATTTCATGTCATCTGGCTGATGTTATCGGCAATTAAAACATTCGAACCACGCGGATGACTTTTATAACAATGCGCGTGTATACGGAGAATTCATAAGACCTCTCCATCCAGATATTCATATATCAGCTTGTGTTTAAAACTGATAACATAGTGATAAGAGACTTGTCTCGTACTTTCGAGCTTTGGGCTGTACGCACGATGAGCCTTATATATCGGGCCACATGAAAATTACGTCTGTGAGTAAGTGAAAGCCGCTCGCTTTCTCTTTTTATAGGTAATTGAAATTATTGTGAATAATGGACATTAGTATTAAGATATTGGCAAATGCCATGGTTTACCTGTAAACTTCCGTAGTTTTCCACCATAGCGGCATCCCGATGATGATGAGGACCCCCACGAATGAAGCGGAGGCCCACATTCGGTTTGATTCTGAAAGAAAAACGAAGAAACATATCGGTTTTACTAGTGCGAGTGAGCCTACAGTGAAATACCAAACTCAAATTTCCTTTTAACAAAACAAAACAAAAAAAGATGTGTGGTGTCGTGGGACACCAGATAGAAACGAAGTTCCTTATTATAAAAATATTAATTTTAAGTTCTATTCGAGGTATGAAGAAAATAATTATTCGGGTATACATTTTTTATTATGATTTTTTTATTGATAAAAATAAATAAATAAACTACTTTACAAAGTTATCAACTTTATTTTATTCACAATGATTTATAAAAAATATATAGTAAAAATATGTTATTTTTTGTTAGTTAAGCCGTACACTGTGTGCATTACTAATAAAAATCTTACGTTACGGACGTTTTTCCTGGGTTGGGGTACCCCTCCGCATCGTCCCATAAGGAACTTCGTTCCAATACATTCTTTCAGGGTTTATGACGTAAAAATATCATTATCAAACCATTCTACGCATCAATTGCTTGTATAAATTTGTTTGTGTCCCACAATAGAACATCCCTAATTGATTCTGATTTTTCTACAAGGCTTGTTGATGAGCCCGCATGTTAATAATGCGAACGACAAATAAATCATCATTTACGTAATGTCATTCTGAATGAAATTTCATCGCGAGTACAAGATTGTATCCAGATAATGAAGACCCATCAACTAAAGCAAGGTTGGCGGAGTATATTGCATAACTTACTTCAGTTTTTATGATTCTAATATTGAACTTAACGGACGGTTAGCATGGTATGGATATGTGATGCGTCGAGAGAAGATGCATGTGACTAGGAGATGTATGGTAGTGCAAGGTAGAAGGGGAAGAGGTCGACCGAAGAAGACATGGATGGAGTATGTGAATTACGATATGAGAGAAAGAGGAGTGAATTTTGAGATGACGGCTGATGGAAGAGAATGGAAGAGAAAAATTAACTGTGCCGACCCCACCTAGTGGGATAAGGTGGAGAAAAAGAAGAAGAATATTGAACTAATCGAACGAAAGCGTATTGTTTGCGTGCTTGTAAAATTTTCATTTAGTCTTAAACTTGCTAAGATAAATTGATTGTACATTTTTTTTTACATTTTATATTATGGTTTTCATTGTTTTAAGGAATATGTCAGCGCAAGTCTGAAAGTGGCACCTGTGACAGAGAAGTTGAGAAGTGCGCGTTTGGGATGGTATGGACATGTGATGAGACGAAATGACAATGAGGTTGTTAAGAGAGTTTTTATTATGAATGTGGAAGGCTTTAGAGGAAGAGATAGACCTAAGAAGATATGGATAGATTGCGTGAAAGACGATATGTGTAAGAGGGTAGTGAGCGAAGAAATGGTATATGATAGAGGAGTATAGAAGGAGAAAACATGTTGCGCCGACCCCAGTGTCTGGGAGAAGGGCAGGAGAATGATGATGATTGTTTAACACCCGGGAAATCACCAATGCCGTGGATCGACCAATTTGAAACTGCAGTGGGAGGTCCTCTAAATGAGTGAAGTAAAATGGCCTCGAGCAGAGAGAGATGGCGAGACATTGTGAGATGCATCAAGTATGGGGACATTCCAACACCACATCACGATCACCACCACTTTGTGAAGAGTGACACGATTGAGAAGGAAGGTAACAAAAGAATGCCACCACCCTCTTGAGATATGTGGCTATAGTGTCAATCACGACTCTACCCCTTTAGACCCGAAAGCATGACTACTTAGCGGCAGAAATAGCCAAGACCTTATAACTTCGCGCCGGAAATAACCAAGACCTTATACCTACTCGTGAAAAGAAAATTCCCTACCCGCACTTTATGATAAATAGAAGATCTGTCGTATTTAACGCAGCAGAGCAGACGAAAGTTTCACCCACCAACCGTGCCTGATTGCGATTCGCGAATAGAATGACGTAATTTAAATCATACAAATGAACTTAAGATTTTTTATTTTTTTTAGTTTATTGCATAGATGGATGGACGAGCTCATAGCCCACCTGGTGTTAAGTGGTTACCAGAGCCCATAGATATATATAACGTAAATGCCACCACCCACCTTGAGATATGAGTTTTAAGGTCTCAGTATAGTTACAACGGCTGCCCCATCCTTCGAACCAAAACGCATTACTGCTTCACGGCAGAAATAGGCAGGATGGAAACATTAAAGTAGATTTATATTATAAAACTTACACATTATGTATTAACAGAATTCAGTATTTGATGCAGATCGGTACGTAAACAATATATTTGCCAAATAAATATTTTACCAGTACCATGTTTTCTTACGAATGGCCAATGCTTCGCCACCCCTGATTCACTCTATTTAATTTGGCTTCAGGGCTTTTAATTAATTGGTTTCGTTTGTGTGATACGCAAGGACAGTGGCGCAACGGACCAAATTATGAAGATACAGCATCTAGTGCATACTTTTTATGTCACTGGGTCTTCGTAAGCTGGTTACATATGGGAGGCAGCGTGGTGGACAATAAGATGGGTCAGGTGTTAAATAAAAGTAATTGAGAACAATTTACATGTATTTTTTGTGGGCGTGTCTATTTGAAGTTTTTTTTTTCTTTTCGATGACGTCCATTTTGTTTTGATTTGCTGGCAACACTATACGCAGTGTTGGCGAAATGACGCATTTCGTTTAAAAATCAAGGATAAATCAATACGGATGTATTGTGTAGTGATATATTACCACAGTTTAAAGCTGTAGACGTGAATGGACATGATTACTGCGTAAATAAGAAACACGACCGATGAAGAAACTTTAGTGGTGGTAGGACCTCTCGTGAGTCCGCGTGAGTGGGTACCACCGCCCTGCCTATTTCTGCAGTGAAGCAGTAATGCGTTTCGGTTTGAAGGGCGGGGCAGCCGTTGTAACTATACTTGAGACCTTAAAACTTGTATCTCAAGGTGGATGGCGCATTTACGTTGTAGATGTCTGTGGGCTCCAATATCCACTTAACATCAGGTGGGCTGTGAGCTCATCCACTTAAATAAGCATTAAAAAAAACACGATAAAGCTTTGTTGGTTGGACGAATTACTATAGACTCGAAAAAAAATTAACTAAAAAATTAAACATAAATAATATGTAGTTAAAAAAAACTAAAAACACGCTTTTTATAAAATTCAACTAAAAAATTAAAAAAATTCTATTAATTTATATCTAATTATTAATATATTACATTGTGTATTTGTATGTATATTTACGGGTAATATGTATGTTTATGTGTATGAATATGTATATATATTTCACTGGATTGATACACCGCGCGTAGTTCGTTTTCTAATGATTCTTGTCCACCTGATGGTTGTCTGGAAGACATGGCTCTTAGTGATAAGACCGGCAACTGTACTTTTTTTTTTGTATTTAATGTAGGTATAGCATTATTTATTTATTTTTGGGGGTACAATAAAGAATACTCTCTCTCTCTCTCTCTCTCTCTCTCTCTCTCTCTCTCTCTCTGTCTCTCTCTTTAATTATCTAATACTGAAAACTGAATGTTTGTTTTATTCTTATTGTCTGCGTTGCCACGCGGTCCAGCCGATTGCAATCCAAACATTTAGTGCTATTCACTGCGGGTTTCAATAGTTTAATATCAATCCTTTCGAAAAATTTCGAATATTAGCAAAACCGGATTCACCTTGCCGATTTAGGAAGCCGTCGGCGTCGTCATCAAAGTGGCCAGCGAAAGAAAGAGATAACGAGATGTTTCAGGTTTCTATTGCGCATCTGCTCTTTTGTATAAAAAAAAATCTCTACGTCATTTTACAAAAAATTTAGTAATAACTTAGTTTGTGCACATACTGTATAAAGTAATTAAAAAAAGTAAAGTAAATATTTACGTAGACAATAAATTGCGTATAAACTGGAATTGTATTCCAACAAAAATATATTATAGTTTCCACAAAAACACTTCTAACATCCCTAACATTAGTACATCAGTGGGTAATAATTCCTAAATTGGCTGATAAAATTACTAGGCACAATGGGACATTGAGCTAGAATCTAGACAAGTTATGCGGCCTGAATGACTATGACAAGGCTAATGGGTAGTTATACTGCAATATTTATTAATGAATGCGGCTTTATACAAGTGGCAATGATGTATCTAAAAGCATCTATATATTAATACGTGAAGCAAAAACTTTGAATCCCTTTTTACGAAAATTGCGCGGACGGAGGAGTATGAAATTTCCCACACTTTTAGAGAATATAGAGAAGGAGTGCACAATGCTTTGTTTTTTTAATAATGCACAAAATATACATTAAATCAATAAAGAAAACATTACTCACACTGCCATGAATTTGACACCACACATATTATGTATATATACTCTTTGTTTATATGGTTTATCTTTAATATTATTTGTCTATAGTGTAGTCTTGGCGAAATCTGTGATTATAAGAAGTATAATAGTTTTTGACAATATAACCATAATAATGTTCAAGCTTATAATTTCAATTAATTATAGTCGAATTTCGACTACGGCGGGACCACTAGTAATATTAAATCAATCACTGGCATGACGTCACAGACAAACTTTACGGATGCGAGGTAAAATACACCAGATTAAAAATGATTATAATTAATTATGAAAAATAACACCGTAGCTAATTGATCAGGGGGATAATTTTAATCTACATTCCGTTCATGCTAATATTAGAAAGGAAAATCTAACAAAGCACTTAGATTTCTCTGACGAAAATCGGATGACTCACGCGTCTTCAAGACTGAAGGCAAACTTCAAACGCAGTATAGGATTACCGAGTCATGTGATTGTTTGGCCAACATTTTTCAGCTATCCAACAAAGACTATTTGGATAGCCTCCGTCAAGTCTATTTTTTCATTTTTACGTCAAGACGACGATAACGTTTCCGTGTATACAGTCTTTCGGGGGATTAATTTTGGAAATTCTGCGGCGTTTCATTGTAATCACGTCGCAATATTTTGATGAGCAGATAAAAAAAACAAGTATTTTCCTGCA